TTTCATATATAAATATATTATTATAATGCTGTATAATTGTCTAAAACATTATCTCAATATACTCTTCTTCTTTCAGAGTAGAGCAATACAAATGTTTCAGCGTTCTTTAATCAATTAGGTCACAAGCTGAGACGCTGGAGAAGCTTAAAGTCCAAACAGGATTTGCTGTAATTTAACGAGATTTGGCATGTCTTTTTTTGCTGTTTAAAATTATGTTCGCTGGGCGGCTGGAATCTGCTGTGGCCTGTGGCAGAGCTGAACTTTGAAAAATGCTGAACTTGAACACACAAATTGCCGAGTGCTGCGACCAAATTGCAACGTTACAGTGGCCGCCAGGCCGGGGCTGCATGGCAAACACATGTGCAAGAATAAACCGCAACAGCCACTTCCGCGAGCGCCACTGCTTGCCACAGCCTCCACTCTGTGGGGGTTGCCTCATTTGGCGGTTGCGAAGAGAAAAAACAGCCCCAACAGCAGCAGCAGCAGCAACGCCAGCAAAAATGTTTAAAAACAGCTGGTAAACACACAAAGGAAACAAGCATAAGCATGGGATACTCTCTCTGTGTGTGTGTGTGTGTGTGTGTGTGTGTGTGTGTGCTGTGTGTGTGTAACGGGACAAACGCCTAAATGCAGCTTAGCATTTAAAGCGCTTTCCAAATTTGCGCTCAGGGAAATTTTCGGCGGCTAAAATTTTGGTGAGGAAGCCTTCGTTGCGGCTGCCGTTGCCTGGCGTTTATTTTGGCTGCAAAAACGGTTGCCCTGGCTATATACATCGACATACACACACATCTACACACACTGAAAAACGATTGTGCACTTGACGTGGAGAGTGGGCGCAACTTGGGAGCTGCCAAAGTTAATGTAAAGCTAGTGTTCATTTTGGCTACTAAACTGCAGACGGCGACAGGTTGATTTTCGTTTACATTTTGCCATTTTATTTATTTACCCAGGGGCTTGGCGCATGATGCGGTTGAGATAACAGAATGCCCCCAGGTAATCCGAATGCTCTAATTAACTGGCCAGAGCGAATGGGTTTGACAGGCAAACGATGAGGCAACTATTTAAATGGGAGCTCAAGTGAACTTAAATGTTAATAACTTTTAGAATAGGAATATAGAATTTTGACTAAATAAATATATATTCAAATTTTACTTAAAATGAATGACTTCATAAATACTCAGAGTTTCACACTTAGTTCATACTTTGACCAATTTAATTTACATTAAATTAAGTCAAGTGAATGCAGCTTGAATTTCTCTCTCTCTCAACTTATAAATATTTCCATTCTATTTACAATAAATTAAAACTCATAAATTTTCTATACTTCACATTGCGTAAATGCGCCAGACATTTAACTTATCAAATGCATCTGGAGCTGCAAAACTACTCAGATAATCTAAATGTGACAAAGCTGCATTAAGAGTAAAAACATTTCTACACAATTTTGCAGTCTGTAAAACCACATTGAACTCTTGACCTCTAAAAAAAAGAGAGAAACTAAAATAAATACAAGAACGTTTCTAGTCAGGGCAACAGATTGTGTGACACTCTGTTTTCTGGCTTCAAATGTGGGGTATATGCAATGGTCTAACACTTTAATATGTGAATGAAAATGTTTATATATTTCTTCTAGTATTTTCTCTTTCTTTCCGCATTTTTTACTTACTTCTTGCAAGTCTTGCCTAGTAGTCTTTCCTTCAAATCGTTCCTCTAGGTCGTTTCTCTGAGTCTTTCCTTCAAGTCGATCCACTAAGTATTTCTTCTAAATCGCACTATTCACTTCACTTTACGTAACTTTACTTTACTGGACTGCACTGCACTACTGACCCCCACCAGGCCTGGGCGACTGAAGAAATGCTGCAGCTGCTGCCCTTTAAATAGGTCGATTTCCTCTCAACGACGAAGTCGCTCTCAAATGCTGAGCCCGACGCCAGGTAGAGATCGTTGCAGCTGAGCTCTAATGGGAGCACTCTCAGCTGCTTCGGGCATGCTAGCTTCGTGTTTCTCGAATATAAATACGAAATAATACTGCTGCTAACACATAGACAACTTCAATGATCTTCTGTAGCTCTTTATCGTCCCTTGCTCTTGTTAGACAGATAGACGGAGAGTTCGACTGTGAGATGGACATAGGCTAGATCTAGCCTGAAATTGGCTAAACTGGCGGCATTATTATTAAATATAGTACACAAAAAATCCCTTTGGGTCTTTTCTCTTCGCTTTTACTCTGACAAGTTCTTCATCACTCGGTTTTAATTTCTCTTAAATGGATCGATGTTTATGTATTGATATATGTCACTTTTAATTGCTGGTCTGCTATAAGTGTAGAAATGCAACAGCCTTCACATAAATGATACACGCATAAATAGTTTATGAAAGCGCATATGCTCCTTAGTTCAACTAGAAACAGAGTATTCTAAGAAAAAACACTAAGACATAAATTGAGTGGGGAAAGAGGGACAGCAGCAGGCAGTCAGGGGTAGCCATGGCTTAGCTCTTCAGTCACAGTCAGAGCTTAGCATATTTCTTGTTGGCTGTTTCTGTTGCTGCTAAATTGTAAAATAAATCAAAATCAACATCACCCGACCCTCAAGCCAGCTGCCAAGCAAAGTGCCAATTGCATTGCCAGGCAATAGGAAATGGAGCAACTGGGGCAAGTCATGGGTCGACGGGGGCAAATGTTATTGATGTGCTTTTAATTGAGGGTTGCATATGTGTAAGTGTGTGTGGGTGTGTGTGTGGGTGTATGCATCGTAGGGAAGCACATGTCTCGTAGTCATGTTACACGTTGCCATGTCTCGTCGCATGTCAAATCATTTAACTCATAACGGAAATTTTATTAGTATTCCAGGAGGAGAACACTTACCGGCATTCGTGCAATGTGCTAGCCAAATCAAAATGGCCATATTGATGGACCAGCAAAAAATGCCAGAGAATCCACCAGCTGCCTTCCATTTGGCACTCTCGGCTCCGCTGCGTCGTCGTCGTCCTCGATGCTGTTGGTTATTTTTTGGGCAATATTTGCCAGGCATTTGCAGATTTGTTGCCACTTCGATGCCCTCAGCTGGCTGTTGATTGGAAATACCCAAATCGAGGCTCAGCCTCAGCTCCGTTGACTCCTCATGCCCGTCCGTATGCATCTTATTGCTGCAATTGCATATAGGAACAGAAAAAAAAAAGAAAGAAATTAATTCTTGCTGCAATTTTTTGTTTTCTGCAAAGAGTTTTTAGTTAAAGCCTTGATCGAAACTCAACCCCTGCTGGCCATATGGCACGCGCGACAGTTCTTGAGTTCCCGAGCCCTGCCACGTGGTCAGACATCATTTTAATGCAAGTGCAGCAAGTTTTCAAAACTTTTCTGCACTTTTTCCACTCTTAATTTATGCAGGCGAACTTTGAGCATAAAAAATAAATTGACAGTTAAAAGAATTAAAGTTTTTCGCTCAAAGCTGATGTGACAAAGTGGTAAGGGATCAGCTAAAACGTTTAATTAAAAAATTGCTGTGAGCAACTCGTAATGTTTCAATCAATATCTATTTAAACTATTTCAGTATGCAATTAACTAATTTTTCATAATTAATATGCGACAAAAAAAAAAACTATTTGTTTACATAAATCAAAGTTTTATCTATTAGCCGTTAGCAATGAATTAATTAAATTCCCATCATTTTTTATGATGTAATAAATCGATTGATTTACAAGATTAGTGTTTGCATTAAAAAGTTTATTTGAATAATATATTGCTATTTTTTTTTTATATATATTTTTTTTTATTTATTTATTTAATTTATGCTGTTTGCTCCACTGTGCGTGAGTAAGAAAACTTTTAAAAGAACATCTCATTAAAGATCCAACAACTGGATTATATACATTAATCGATATACATTAGTGATATTATTTATTTTTTTTTTTTTTTTTTTATTGCTAAACGAATTGCTTGGAAGCAGCCATCGTTAGAGTTATTTAAATTTACAATTTGTATATCTATTTATATATGACAAAGCAAAGCTAAAATTAAATTTGTTTCGTGGAATAAAACCGCAGCTTTGTAAGTCAAAGCCGAAGACAAAGTTTTGGGCGTTATTTTTAGCACATTTTTAACTGTACCATGCTAATTTTGACTGGTTCTTAAAATAATGTGCGTAAATTGACGACGCGGCGTCGTTGGATGAAAGTGCTAAAAATTAAGGCATACAATGTGATCTGACATACCCTGTGAATATAAAAGCAAGGAGGCATATCAAGTTGAAGAAGAATTCAACTTGGATTTATATAATTTATATAAAAAAAAATTTTATTTATATGTCTAAATTCATACATGAGAATACTATATATATTTATATATAGGGTAGTTGCTTACGCTATGGACAAACTTCTTTTCAATTTTACAATATAAGAAAATATATATATTTAAGACACAAAAACTTGAAAACTTGCTGACAAACTGACAAACGTAAAATTATGTGAAAAATGCAAA